CAAGCCAGTGAAGCTTCAAAGCTTAATCTGTATTTACAGCTGCTCCCCATCGCTCTTGCATAACTGCCTGAGCTCCACCCCCACCCTCCCACCCTCATCTGTGGAAAAATTGTCTTTCATGAAACCGTTGCCAAAAAGGTTGAGGATCGCTGCTCTACATACAATAACAACAACAAAACAACAGGAACACTGGATATTAAATGCCATTAAGAAAGGTACAAAATGCTCCAGAGGGTTAATAGATAGAGCATATATGGTTTGGGAAAGTGGACAAAGAAGAGGAAAGACATCAGAAAATACGTCTTAAAGATGGCATTTTGGCAGGGCTCAGTGGCTCGCACCTGTAACCCTAGCACTCTGGGAGGCTGAGGAGGGAGGATCGCTTGAGCTCAGGAGTCTGAAACGAGCCTGACCAAGAGTGAGGCCCCCTCTCTACTAAAAATAGAAAAAATTAGCTGGGTGTGATGGCACCGGCATGTAGTCCCAGCTACTAGGGAGGCTGATGCAGGAGGATCGCTTGAGCCCAGGAGTTTGAGGTTGTAATGAGTTATGATGATGCCACTGCACTCTACCTAGGGTGATATAGCAAGATTGTCTCCAAAAAAAAAATAAAAAAAGCAGGTGGCATTTTGACAGATGAGAATTCTTAGGAAAAGATAAAGTGTTTTAGGTAGAGGATAACATGAGCAAAGATGGAAAGCCTGAGTACAGCACAGAATTTTTTTTCAGAGACCACTGCATTTGAAATGTGTAATGCGTAATGACAGGTATGATCATAACATGAAGGGTCTTCAGTGTTAGGCTAAGTATTTAAATAGGTTTAGGAGAGTGAGTTCAAAGTCTCCCTATAACAATTCAAATTACTTTAGTGATTCCTTAATCTTTTCTTGAAACTCTTCTATTATGTATATTTTCTAAAGGAATCATGGAAATTAGTGATTTCTCCTTCCCACAAGGAACAAAAAATAAAATCTTGAACACTAAGTAAGCATGCTAATGGGGGAGAAGGCAGAATTTCAATAAGCCTAGCACTGTATCCTGTACTTTGGGGAACACATAAGGCTTAAAACAAGCTGTGGGCAAATCCCAATAGTCAGAATAGCTGGAGCAAGATTAGGGGTAAAATAATAGCATTTATTAAGCTCCTAGCACCAGGCACTGGGCCAAGAGATTTACATGTAGTATCCTTGTTCCACCAAAGAACCCCATTTAGAATTAGGAAAACTGAGGCTCAGAGTGGTCAAGTAAATTGCTCAAAGTTAACAGGCTAGTAAGGTCAGCTAGTAACACATAGAGACCAGTTTTGAATCCAGGCCTGTCTGATCTCCTGTTTTTCCCATTTTTTACTTTTACTTGTTTTTACAGTTCGAAGGAAGCTAGAATGGTAGGATCATGATGCATGTGTCAATGATAAGGGCTGGATATTTCTTTAATATAGGGGCTTGTCTGGGCTGGAAAAAAAACTAGGCTGAAACATTTAAATATGGCCTTGGAATGGCTTAGAGATCGAGACCAACAGAGATCAAGTTTAAGGCTGCTTCTTTTTATTTTTTAAGAGACACGGTCTCACTTTGTCACTCAGGCTGGATGCAATGGTGAGATCATAGCTTACTGTATCCTGAATGCCTGGGCTTCAAGTGATCTTCCTGCCCCAGGATCTTGGGTAGCTGAGACTAAGGTGCACACCACCACGCCTGGCTAATTTTTTTTTTATAGAGATGGGGTCTTGTTACACAGCCCAGGTTGGTCTTGAACTCTTGGCCTCAAGCGATTCTCCCACCCTGGCCTCCCATAGTGTTGAGATTATATTCCTGGCCCTAGGGATTCTTCTTGATTCAGTTTGAACAATGATCATAACGTAGACCTAATTTAGGAATACCAAGGGAGCAAAATTGTAGTTTTAATTTGTAAACTAGAGAGTAAACTCCAAGAGAATATGGACATTTGTTTGTAATCATTGTATTTAAAGTCCTGAGAACAGTGATGGGCACATGGTAGGCACTGTAAACTTTTGTTGAAATAATGAAAAGTCATGTAAGAGGTACTCTCATTTGAATACCCTTGAAGGCTCTGAAATAAAGACAGTGGACCAATAAGTTTACAAACCATTCAAGTAGTCAGGATACTTTCTTTAACCCTCAACCCCAAGGAAACAACAAAAACAACAAACCACCACCACCACCAAAACAACAAACGAAACAGTAGTAAAACATTAGCATGATTTTACGAAGGTAGATAAAAGAATGAAAAGATGCTTTTACATTATTTATATCATTCTGTGGATACTCAAATTTCAGTGAGATGGAATCCAGAATTTTGACCCAGTGTTTTTTTTTTTTTTTTTTTAAGACAGAGTCTCACTCTGTTGCCTGGGGCGAGTGCCGTGGCGTCAGCCTAGCTCACAGCAACCTCAAACTCCTAGGCTCAAGCAATCCTACTGTCTCAGCCTCCCGAGTAGCTGGGCTGGGACCACAGGCACGTGCCACCATGCCCGGCTAATTTTTTCTACATATATTTTTAGCTGTCCAATTAATTTCTTTCCATTTTTTGGTAGAGACGGGGTCTCGCTCTTGCTCAGGCTGGTCTCGAACTCCTGAGCTCAGAACCATCGGCCCGCCTCGGCCTCCCAGAGTGCTAGGATTACAGGCGTGAGCCACCGCGCCCGGCCTGACCTAGTGTTTTAATATTTCAAATTGCCATGAGCAGTGTATCCAATGATTGCTTTTGGAAAAGCAAATGGTTATCTAATCCAAGTACTCTAAAAAAAAAATTCTTTATTATAGCTGGCTAGTAATGGAATGAAAACTTCAAATTCATTAACTCAAAGAGTAACAGAGTATACTTACAAAAGTATTTTTCTAATTTTCATACTATGTTTCTATTAGAACTCACCTTTGCGTGTCTTTACAACTTCACGAAAGGTATTAAAAAAAAAAAAACCTTTGGAAGACAGCAAGCCACTCCCCAGAAACACTTTTAAAAAGAATAAAAACAAGTTCCATGGATTTTCCCTTTCTATTTTTCACAAGCTTTTCTAATATTTCTTCTTTGATAGGACCAATGAATAACTGCCACTTACCGCAAAACATCTTCTCTCAGATATGTACTTAATATATAGCTTTCTTCTACACAGACGGTTCTTCAAGCTGCTCAAGTCTTTCAGCTACAGCAATTTTTCTTATTTCTATTATACCGCATTTCTTCCATGGAATATCATAAAGACCAATTTAATAAACTCCTTTGTTTTCCAAAGACAATTTGCAAAAGGCAGTACTACTGTATCTCAATCAATATCTTAACATCGTTTTCTTTTTTTTCATTTAGTTCTACAATATTTCCATTCTTTAATAATTCCCAATACTATAGTTTGTCAGGTGACCATATCACATTTTCTTCCATATTACATTAAAATAGAAGATAGTGAATATTTTCTCTTTCATCAATTAATTAATACTTGGGGCAGTCTGCATATCCCTCATGTTCTATTAATAACAACACATTTTGTCTTGCCTTTTCAGTCAACTACTGCAGCAATTTTGTGGTCTTTCAAAAGATAACTCATAATTAATTTTAGAGTCTTAGACTGATTTTTTAAAAAAAATCTACAGAAGGTTAAAACACATTTTTTTCTTTAGTGCAACAATTTGGTTTAAAACAGATTTTCTAATGAACTCTAAAGCAAACGGCTTCCTGAACTAGAACTAAAATAAGTGCAGATTTGGAGGCTAGATTAAGTAATAATCCAAAAGGAAAAAATACACGGGCCTTATTATTTTAAAAATTCTTGAAAGACATTAGTTTTAGGTTCACTTGATAGATATCTAAAATTACTAAAATTGTTGAGATTTCACAAAATAAGCTCCAAATAGAGTGGTTCCTTCAGTACACAGACCCCTCCCCCAAGTATTGTGTTACTGCATTGCCAATAGAAGATAAGGAATCAAAATTGTGGAGTATTTATGACCACTTCACAGTTTCTTATACAAAATTGAAAACACAGGAAAACAGAAAGTTCTTTCTTACTGATCTTCAGTCCTTTGTGAGCCAGTTTTTTACTGTACTTAAAATCTGAGCTGAGTCTCATACCCCTTGCACCATGCTTTAAATCCACAAAGAACAGATACTATTTTTAAATCAGTGCTGAATTTAATTATAAAAAGTGAACTATGTACCCAAATACAACTTTCACAAATGCTACATGTAAGCTACACGTAAGAATTTTTAAGGCTTGAGGACGTTGTTTTCAGGCCCAGGGCAAAACCTGTAGTCCAAAATCAACGGGTCTAAGAATTTGGAGTACCAATTAAATCGGGTAAGGTAACATCAAATTTGAGTACTTCAGTATGATACTTTCACTCTGATAAGATAAAAATGCCGCATAAGTTACGTAAAATATTCAGTCCTCTAATAAACCACCTCCTTAACAGAGTTCCTGTCGCATGTCAAGGCAGAGAGCACTGTACCTCATTCAGTCAAGGCTGGACTTGAGAAGAGGGACAATTCACGAGTCACAACAAAATATGTCACCTTGTGGAGATGAGCAGAGAATTTTAACAAGGGGGTTGGAATTCTTTGAAGAAAGCATGAAAGAAAACTTTGTTGGGGAGGAAATTTTCCATCTTACACGTGGAAACTCACATAAATTGACCAGAGGCTGGTGATGAGCACGACTGAGTGGAATAACCTAACTTTTCCCAGAAAACACAGTCTCAAAGCTGTGTAAGATGCGATCTCTGCGAATGGTACCAAGCACCGCCTTTTCAAGCACTGAAAGCGGTGTGGACACCCCCAAAACCATCCCCCTCCCTTGTACAGGAAGTGAGTATGTTTTCCCCTCCCCCATGACGGCCTCCCTCCCCCCGAACCGGAAGTGAGGCACCCCCATTCAGTCGGCCTCAAACCGAGACAAACCAGTACAGCAGCAGCGAAAGAGGGATGATCTTCAAGGGATGAAGGGCATCTCGACCATGGCCGCCCCCAAGCTCGCCTTGCTTACTGACCTGCGGACGACAGGGGCAGGCAGGGTCCCGGGCCTAAAGCAAGCCCCCTGCACAGAGGACAATTTCCTCAGCCCCTCTCAATCGCCTTCGCTCTCCGTCCGTCGTCTCACAGCTTGACAAAAATTCCTCCGCAGCACTTCATTTTCATGTCCTTTCTTTCTCTTTACCCAGTCGCTTAGCCACTTTCCCATAGGTAACTTCTCTTATCGCAGTAACATTTAAAATTGTTCCGTTGTGGAGAAGAATGAAATATATTCCCAGTACCTTCAGGAAAATGAAGGGATTACTTTGCCCCAATGCGGCGAAGGACTACGTGATTACGCGAGGGGAGACTATTTTCGTGGAGGTTTCTGGGAGATGTAGTTTTCTTTTTCACTGCTAACGCCTGCAGAAAGAGGTAGGAGTTACATTGGTAATTACTATACACTGGCGTCCTTGAAAATACGTATTCCGCGTTCGACGACGGCTCGGCACCCAAGTAGGCCAAGACTGCCTTGTCCTTTTCCTTCGTTTGGTCCAGCCCCCTTTCCCCTTCCGCGGGCCCGCTGTCCTGGTCGCCCCGCCCTCTCGCTTTGGCCCCGCCCCTCAGCCAATCGGGCGCCCTCTAGGTCTCGTCCTCTGGAGGTGGGAGCATGGAGAGGCGGGGCCTTGTGCGACTCCTCCGGCGGGACGGAGGGAGGCCCGGGAGAGGGCCGAGGGCCCGAGCGCGCGCGCTCGTTCTCGCTCGTCAGGGAGCGCGGCGGCCGGTGTGCGCGCGGAGGGGCGGCGCGCGGGGCTGGAAGGAGGCGGGCAGGCTGGTGGGCCGGGCGGGCGGCGGGCGGCCGGGAGCGCGCGGTGGACTCGGCGGCGGCGGCGAGTAGTTAGTTGTTGTTAGTCAGTGTCAGTTGCTCGGCGGCGGTGGCTTAGGTCACCAGGAAGGCGACAGGACAGGCGGCGGCGGCGGTCACCGCGGCGGCGTGGGCGGCCCTCAGGTAACAGGGGCACGGCTGCCGCGTCCCCTCCATTCCCTTCTCCTCACGCGCGGGGTTGTGGGACCGGGGTCGCCGCGGGGCGAGCGCACTGACTCGGGGAATCCCGGCGGGGCGGCGGCGCGCCGGGGCCGGGCGGCCGGTGCGTCCTGCTCTGCGCTGGCTCTCGTGCCGGGCCACCCGCGCGACCCGCCCGCGCCGCGCGCCCCGTCGCGCCCCCCGCCGCCCTGCCCCTCCCTCTGCGGCGGCCCCAGTGGCGCGGCGCCCCCCAGAGGAAGGAAAGTTGGGACCTGGCGGGAGGGACGCCCCCGGGCGCGGCTGTGAGGCTGCAGGGAAGAGTGGAGCCCGGAGGACCTGGACGCGGGGCAGCGGGGGGCAGGAGGGGCTTCTCTCGCCCCTGCGGAGTCTGCACGGTCGTCCCGCTCCCAAGCTAGGGAGGATCGGTGCATCCTCGCCAGCAGTTCAGGACGGAACCTGGCGGCTCGCTGCCTGCCCACTTCGCTCTGCTGCTGGTGAGCCCCTGACGTGCGGGCTTGCTTGGTTGTTCGGGCGTTTTGGGTGGTTGGGCTGGTCAGTGCGTTTCTTCTTTGCCCTTTGACTCATCCGTTCTTGCAACTTTTCTTTCCTTCCTCGGTGGGGACTTGCCGTCTGAACCGCCTCTCCCCCCCCCCCCCCATGGCATGCACCATCCGTCTGAGAGCTTGATTTCGTTTTTTTCCTCCTTTGACTATGTTAAAGACTGCTGAGAGCAACAGGAAAGAGCCCTCCGTCCTTTAAATGTTACTTTTTGGAATCAGTTTTTTAAAGATCCAAGTTCAGGAATTTGAGAGCCGTGGAATGGAGTTATTGGAGGGCTGGCGTTGAGCGGGTAGTGATGAGTTAGAGGAAAACTATGATTTCATCTTTATTGGCCTTGCTATAGAAAACCTAATACATTTCTCTTCTGTCTCTGTTGAATGTGGTAAGATTACACGTTGAATTAAATACTTGGAGACTTACATAAAAGACTATTTTTAGGTCATTGGATGATGTACATGAACAGCTTTTCACCTGAATTGGGATCGCCTTGAGGATTCTATTTTGGGGCCTACCCACTGATTTTTATTCAGCCACAGCGTCCTTTTTTTTCCTAATAAATGAAGTGATGTAGTAATGTGTGTACTCAGAGAACCCATATTTGCTCCCTGTAGTGTGGAATTGAAAAACGTGAATTATCCACAGAGGTAAAACTTTCCATGAGCAATCTTGGATACTCACTTCGTGATGGCTTCTCCGGTAATCTCAGAGCATTGCTAGATAGCTCAACTCACTGACTACCCTAATTACTTTCTGAGGTGCCTGGCACTTCTCTTTGGTGACTTGTTTAGTAAACTGTAATGGCAGGTATGGTACATTTTCTTGGCATCAAAGATGAGAGTTATAGCCTCAACCCAGAGATTAACAGTTAATGGAAGCAAAATTCATACCATTGCTAGTGAGTTTTGGCTATGACCAACTCACAAACTATGTGAAAAAACAAATGTCCCCTTTCCATAGCTTTCAGAAGGAAGAAGGAGAGATATTTTGTCATGTCTTTATTTTGGAGACTCTCACATGACTATGTTATGTGGGAAAAAATGTCAGATTGTTTTCTCTAAGGCTTTTTAATGTGTGGCCCTCCTCCCTCCCGCTCCTTGCTTCGGGCTGAAATTTATGTTTGGCTGGGTTCTAGGGTTGGAAGAGAAGTGCTTTGGTGAAAGGAAAAGATAAGATTGCTTTGAGCTATTATGATACAATGGCTATTCATTTTATCCAATGATAGTACAGAGAAATTTCCATGATAATGTTTGTACCCCATTAACATTCTGTCAGAATTTATTTTTAAGAGTCTACCCTGAGGCCCATAAAGAAATAATGCTACTTCATAACTGTTTTCTGACAATCACATTAAAAAATGTATTCCTGGAATGTGTTATATATGTATGCATGTAAACATTTATCTTTGTACATTTATGGTAATGTAAATATTTAAGTCTGAGAGCTTAAAAACTTTTATTTGCTTATTTGCATACATGTTTTTCAACATCTAACAGTGCCAACCATATTTGCCAAATAAGCATCAGCCATAAATTCATGCTTTGGCACATTTCATATAATAACTTCTGAATTGCTCCATGGTGAAGCATCATGAGATTAGCATTTGCTTCATGAGAGAGATTTGTTGTTGTTTTTAACTATACTGATGTGCTGTTTAAGTGGAACAGGTGCTGGGCTCTAGCTGTTTGTATTGAAACCTGCCAAATCATAGTCTTTTGTTGAACGGGTTGTTTAAGTAATTTAGGAACCAAACTGTGGCCCATGGCATGCCAAGTGTGAGTTCGAGGCTCCATATCACTATTGCAAATCCCTGTTTTCACTGTAAGGGGCAGGTGTGTATGAACTTTATTTTCTTTGCTGATTCTTTACTGTGCTTCCTACTCCCCCACCCTCCACCTTAGTCCTTTCATTACTAGAACTCTTGGTAAAGTCTAGGCTCCTTTGTGGCTGGTTTGTTTTCCTTGGAGAACTAGACATTCTAGTAACCTTCAGGAATAGGTCATTCACATTTGTTTGACAAATATTTGAGTGCCTTCTAAGTGGCAGGCATGTGGCACTTAGGATACGAGTATATATAGAATGAGATCCTTTTGCCAGGAGCTTACAGTTGAGAGAATTACCAGTAGTTATAATACAATATTACCACATTGATGTATGTCATATGGATGTATGACAGGTGTGTGCACAAGTTTTTATGGATGGAAGTGGAGGCAGGGTTGCTGACTCAAACTTAGGGAGAGAGTGTCTTGGAATGCATCTTTGTGGGTTACCTGAGCTAATCTTGAATAGAAGCTATGAGTTAACTAGGTTCAGAAAGAGGGAAAGTATATTTTATACTAGCACTGTCCACAAATGTCACATATATAATTTAAAATTTTCTGGTAATCACATTTTAAAAAGTAAAATGTGAATTTAATTTTAATAATGTAACTTAATCTCATATATCCAAAATATTATCATTTCAACATGCAATCAATATAAAAAGTAATATTGATGTATTTGACATTCTCTTTTTCATACTGTCTTCAGAATCTGGTGTGTAATTTACACTTAAAGCACATCTCGCTTTCAGCTAACCTCATTCATATACTCAGTAGCCACAAGTAGACAGTGCAGCTTTACAATAGGAGCAGATGAAGTGATAAGAAGCCACATCACTGATTGCCTTGTAAACCAAGCTAAGAAGAAAAAATTGAGCTATGCTGTGATGGAATCAGATTTGTGTTTTAGACCTATCATTTTGACAATAAAGTGAATGTTGGATTAGAGCAGGGCAAAACTGAAAGCAAAGACCAGTTAGGAAGCTATCCTGGTGAGAAATAATAAGGGATGTAGAGAAGGGGGTAGCTATTAATATAGGAGAGATTTAGAAAGTATTACCAACAGGATAGGATAAATAATCAGATTACAGAATTGAACAAGACTGAAGATTTAGGATGATTCCCACATATCTGTTGTGAGCTGTTAGGTGGTTTGGGCAAGCAGTTGAAGAGAAGCCAACCATCTGTGCCAGACAGACCAAAGATGAAAAAAGGAAACTATGAGAGATTTGTCGCGGAAGCTGAGGGAGAATATTTCAAAGACTAGGAGTGGTTAACACTGGATCCTGCCCTGGAAAGGACAAGTGAGATAAGGACTGAATAAAGTCTCTGAGACTTGGTGATTAAGATGTCTTTTTTAACTCCAGCTAGAGCAGTTAGCTACATTGTAATGCATTGAGGGGGTTGAAGAGTGAATGACAGCTAGAAGTGTAGCTAATTGAGAGGGATACAGCATTTTCAACACAGGACTTTGAAGGAAAAAGTGTAAGTAGAGGGAGATGATCAGGAATTAGAGAAGTTTACCTTCAAAAAAAAAATCTCGGGCATGTTTATGTGCGACTGGAAAGAACCAGTAGAGAGAAGAAATTGAACAAGAGAGTATATGCCTGTGTATGGTGGTGTGGGGGGAGTGGATGGTGGATGGTAGATGGAGGCAAGGATTTGGAGACAATAGTTAGGCATAGGATCCTAGGCCTAGGTAGAGCAGTTGGCCTTGAGTAGAAGGTCATCTTACTTTTCCAGGGAGCAGAAAGGAAGGAGATAAAGATGGGTGGTAGTGTAAATAAGTTTATAACTGACAGAGACAGGAAGGAGAAGGAGTTGATGACTGTATTCTGTCATTTTTGATCATCTACTAGGAGTGAAGGGAAGGTGGTGGAATAGGGGTTCTTAAAAATAATGTGATTTTATAACAGCTTCCAGGGGAATGTGAGAGAGAGAGGCAAACGGACACATGACCAGGAAATTGAAGAAAGATTGTTAGGC